AGACCTTGCGAGCATGGCACGGTCAATGGGGAAAGAAGAGGGTTTTAAATGCTTTCTCTTCACCTTTCATGCTCACAATGACCACTCTCGATCAACAGACATCCGTTTCGTATGAAAGTGCACGATGAAAGGATTTGTTGGCTGATTTCACCCGAAGACAACGGTTGATCTTCGTCGTTTTGCAGTCGAGTTCGACACTGATGCAAAGTTCCGTTTCACACAGTCCACGAGAAATACTCTCTTGTTTTGATGGAAACCTGGCCAGGCTTTTGTCTGTCATGTGGCATGACGGACCTCACCGGAACTGGGACTCTTGCCATATCACATCCTTTGGTGGGATTGTCGATTAAGCAAACGTATATTTGCCATAGCAATCGACTACTTTACTTATTTCTCGTATGTGAGTAGAGCTTCAATGGAAACGTCAGCTCTACTCATCGTTGTGGGAAAAGTCTACCACCTGTCGTTCATCACGTTAAACGAAACAAAGTGAATGCATTCCATATGACTGTAACCTAGTCGCCGTTTTTCGGTGATATCAAAACAACAAATTTCATCGTGCCATTTTATTTGAAATGAAGGTCCCCACAAAACCCGGCCACCCTCTGGATATAACTATCACGATGGTTATGTGGTGGTGGTGGTGGTGTGGTCTTCTGTTTGGTCAGAGCGTCAGAGAGACCTTGTCGAATGTACCTAGTCCCGTGTCCTCAACCAGACTATTCGTGATTTCCAGCATCGGCTTCGCCGGCTTCCTCAATGAAAGGCGTCATCGTAAGCACAACTTATCAAAGTGACAAATAATCTAAATGCCCAATTGTGAGTGGCATCCACTGAGTGCACGCACGCACGCATGCATGCATGCATGCACGCATGCACGCGTTGATAAATGGCAGGAAATGACAGTAACATTTAATGAAATGAATGTAAATAAGCATGAAGAGAGATGCAAAGCCGGTTGCTCACCCGTCACCGCAGGCTGGGGCACTTTTCAAAGTATCCCACTGCAGCGACAACAGAGCCACCGATCGTCGCCACATTTGCCCTGTCCACATTTTCCAATCCGCATTTTGGCCCGGCTCAGCCAATACGCTAAATGCTGACCTGGCCCACGTGACAGCCGGCCGGCCGGCCGACCGGCTGGCTGACCGACCGACCGACCGACCGACTCGCACCTCGTCTACTGGGGCCTTTCGAGCGGCATGAGTCATGCGCTGCTGTTCTCTTGCCGCCCCGACTGGATGCAAATTGAAGCGC